TAGCACCGACTTCTTCGTCTGCCGTTCCACCAGCACCAGCCACCGTTGGAACTCCCGCAGCACGTCGCTCTTCTTAGCGACCGGCATTGCCCATACAAGTCGAGTATGACGATCCTTCAGCAGCAGGAAGTACAAGCTGCCATCCTTGGCAGCCACCCGAAATGGCCCGCACAAGTCAATGTGCACGACAGCCAGCGCCTCCGCTGCGTCCGAGCCCTTGGCGGGGAAGGTGTGCCGCGCCAGCTTTCCTCCGACGCACGAGACACACGGCGGGTCTGCTCCGGTCGACGACGTGATGTCGAGCCCAGTAGCCACATCATGCTTCGTCGAGCTCTTGATCGTGTCGACGCTGACTTGTCCGAGCCGCGCATGCATCCGATCGGGGGTCGTCTTCGTCGCCGAGACGATCGTCCGCAGAGCCACCACCTCGGTCGACAGCGACTGCGTCGAGCAGGGGCGAAGGTCGGTGCAGAGGACTCGTCCGGTGTAGCGCGCTCGACCGAGCACCTCCCCTCTCGCAGCGACGAGCAACATCTCGTCGCCGTCGCCCTGCAACAGCACTCCGCTCTCCTTCAACTGGCCAGCAGACAGCAGGTTCGCCTGTACGCCCGAAACGTAGAGTACGTCGGGGATGAGGACCCGCTTCCCGTCCTCCCCTTGTAGAGCGACGGTTCCCCGACCCTCGACGGGCTGCAGCGCCCCGTTGAATCCACGTACGTGCTTCACTCCATCGCTCGGCGCCATGTCGACGAAGACCGCCTTCGTCCCCATCAGGTGGTGGGAGCACCCGCTGTCGAGCAGCACCGCCATCGGGTTGGCCTGCACCGCTGCCGCCACCGCCTGGTAGTCCTCGCCAGCCTCCGGCGCCAGCGAGACCGTCGGCTCCACCACGCCGACCATCGAGCACGACGCCTCCCCGTCGCCTCGGCCCTTGCCGCTGGAGTTGTCGACGTCCTTCGTCGACGACGTCTTCTTCGACACTTGCTTCTCCTTGCGCGGCTTCTCATCTCGACGGGGGCGACGACTGGCCGATCGACCACGGCCTCCCTTGTTGTCGTCCTCGTCGCTGTCATCGCGGTCGGGGCACTCGAAGGAGAGATGGTCGGGGTCGCCACAGATCCAGCACTCCCGCCGTCGACCACCACCTCGTCGGCCCTTGTCCCGCGTCGACCGCTTCTCGTCGACGTCCTTCGTCGACCGCCCACCTCCGCTACCACCTCCGCCCGGCTTCCCGCGCTGCCCTTGCTGCTGATTCAGCTTCGTCGATGCAGCGTAGTTTGCCTGTGGAAGGAGCTCTGTGGGCTGTTCGGCCTCCTGCATCGCCTCATCTTGAAGGATGTAGCTGGTGATGGAGTCCTCGTCGAGGGACTCACGAGTGCCGGGCACCATCATCATCCTCTTCATGAGATTGTAGCTTCGCGGCAAGCCCTTAACGATGTGGGTGATGTAGGACGCCGTTGAGTATTCGGCGCCCGCCATCCGCATCTCAGCCAGGATCCGTCGAGCACGGTTGCAGTAGTCCGTCGCCGACTCCTGCTCGCCCATACGAATGTGAGTCATCTTCTCCTCCAGCTGCTCGATGTACAGGTCGTCCCTGACCTGGTACGTCGACATGATGAAGCGCCATGCCTGGTGACCAGCATCCAGTCGCTCTCGACAGCTCCTGAGCGCTAGCTGCACCACCGGCGAGCAGCACCTCGAGATGACCATGAAGGTGAGCAGGTGCGCAGAACGAAACTCCCCGCGCAGCTCGACATCCTCCTCGGGCGGAATTGGCACGGTGCCGTCGGCGAAGCCCTTCAGCCCGGCGACCTCCAGCTGAGGTTCGATCGACTCCCTCCAGGTGATGAGGTCTCGTCGACCTTGCAGCGGTGCGACGGTGATCCGGTCCGACGAGAACTTGAAGTAGCCATACGCCGGTGCAATCCCGCCCGCCGTCACATGCGTCGTCGCCGAGAGCCCTCCACCGCTTCGTAGAGGAGAGCGACGTCGAACATCGACGTCGGCACGCGAGCTGCCTGCAGCCGCCGTCGACCACTGCACTCGCGCCTGGATTCGGTCGACGCCTCCGTCGACCTTGATCACCCCTCTCTGCCTCGTGCCTTCGCTGCCGCTGACTCGTGCACCACCGTTGACCTCGTCGTCGACGCCACCTTCGTTGCGCACCGGTCGAGGAGAAGCAGGACGGGAAGGGTGTTCCGTCGCCCACTGCGACCGGATGCCGAACTCGACGATCAGCAAGGGGATCGTCCCGTACTCGCCATCCGCGTGGCGTCAGCCAAACGTGTCTCCAAGGTGTCCGCTACACCCGCATCAGCTACGGGGTCGACCATGGTGACTATCGTTGCTGCCGGCCTACGAACGACTTAGAAGGTGCAAAAGTCGGCTCCTATCTGAAGGTATTTGCGGGGCCGTCCACGCTCACCGCACCATGCGGAGAGACACTCTACAACGGTAGTGAGCTAGACTACGGGGGTTGGCACGAACTACTAGGAGTGATCGTAGCTTTGCTTGGTTCCTTAGTGCTTGCACATTCACGAGAGAAATCGGCAAGAGTTTCCACTAGCAAAGTTGGAATTACAGAATGATTGAACACACAATGACAGAATGACTACATCAGGCACCTAGCAACCCTGCAGCTAGCCTGGTCGACCGCCAGCACAGCTCGGTCGACCGCCTGCCAGCGTTGCGTAGAGGAGCCGCGCCAGCACTGCAGAAGGGCGACCTGCCAACAGAGCAGGTCGACGGCGTGCCAACGCTGCAGCAGAGTGGCTGTCCAGCGTTGCCCCGTAGAACACAGCAGTGCGCACGCTCGCAGGTGCGCGCAGACGATTGGCCCGACTTGCCTCGTTGGGCATCCGTCGGCTGTTGTCTGCGCCTGACGAGCCACATCGACTTCGGGATACCAGCCCGAAGTCGCCTGCGCCATCGCGACCTTGACGACGTTCGCGTGCCCCCGCAGAACTCATCGAGCAAGTTACCCGGTCGACCCGGTCGACCACCAAGTGCTTCCGGTCGACCACCAGGTGCCTCTGGTCGACCACAACTCCCGTCGAGCAACCCCCTGGTCGACGGACCCCTTCCGTCGACCAGAACTGTCAGCAGTTGTCGCCGAGCTCCCCTCGTCGACCGCTGCTCACTTGTCAGGTCGACGGACTGCTCCGTCGACCTCCCGGTCGAACTGCAGGTCGACGGGATGCTCCGCAGGCCTCCCGGTCGAGCTGCAGGTCGACGGGATGCTCCGCAGGCCTCCCGGTCGAACTGCCCCTCCTGGTCGAAGGCCCACCCGTCGCCCAGACCAGTCGGTTGCAGCTGTCGAGCTCCCTGGTCGACAGCAGCACCACAGCGGTCCCCTGCAGCTCGACGAAGCCTGTCGAGCAGCTCTCCCACTGTGAACGGTCGGCTGTTACTCCCGTACATCCGACCAAGTTGTCGGCGTTGCCCAAGCGAGGGCGGGGCCAACACTCCATTCCTGTTAACAGCTGGGAGCGGAATGGGATACCAGGGGTGTAGCGCACAGCATTGACGGATACTTTTGCCGCAAGGTCCTTTTCAGCAGAGAGAGGGGCCGATGCGACTTTCTCGAAAGTGAGTTCCTTGGTGGGGAGCTGCTTGAGCATGGGACTGGTGACATTGTAGGCCGGGGTAAGACCTACGAGTAGTTCAGCTGCAGGTGCCTGTTCGGAGAAGGTGATCCCGATGTCCTTGAGTTCCTCGTGGATGTTACGAATTTCTGAAATGTAGTCCGCCATGCCCGAGCATTTGTCAAGGCGGATCTGGAACATTCGAGGATTGCAACTCCCACTGTGGTCTTATCATGGAAACGGTCCTGTAGGTACTTCTAAATCTCATGAGCGGAGCCAAAGGTGCGGTAGGACTTGACAAGTTCAACTGGAGTGGTGGTGATGAAAACCCTAATGACTGCCGCATCCGCCTGCTCCCACACACTGAAGTCGGTCTCATACTGGGTAGTCTTGGCCTCATCTTTCACTTGCCACGGTTGAGGAGGATGTCCTTGAGGCAAATCCCCTTCAGCTCCGTGCTAAGGAGGTGCTTCTCCACTCCATAGCACCATTCCCCAAAGTTGGTGCTCGTGCCGTTGGGAGCGAGATTGAGAACGATGAGGTTTCCGATGAGGGTGGAAGTTGAAGTTGCCATTTCGCGCGGAGCGCAGCGCTAAAGTCTCCGATACCTAGCGGAGCGAAGCGGAGCGGCGATTTTGAAAATTAGGACGTCCGAAACGCGATTTCGGCAACAGAAAACCCAGAATGTGATGTGTTGCTCTGCTTCGCCGCTGCCCCCTTTTCCGCTTCCCTGCTGCGCCGCTGACCTGTCCCGCTGCGCCGCTGACCTGTTCTACTGCGCCGCTTAACCTGTTCTCCTGCGCCGCTGAACCTGTTCTGCTGCGCCGCTGAACCTGTTCTGCTGCGCCGCTGAAACCTGTTCTGCTGCGCCGCTGAAAACCTGTTCAAAGTTAAGAAATTGGGAAAAACGAGAAATTTCCCGACGGAAATGTAAAATTCCAGAGGCTTACGATGAAAGACGTGAAATAGAAGAAATCGCCGTTGAAATCGGAAGTGCGCGAAGACGGAATGTGAGTGCGCTCTTGAACGGCGTGAAGACGTGAAGTCGGAAGACGCTAGGCGTAGGAGCCGAAAACTGAAGGAGGTATAGAAGAACTGAAGAGAACCATTACGACGCCAAGGATCGAATTCCGCGTGAGCGGAATTTACTAGCTCTGATACCATGATAGAAATGGAGCTGAACTGATTAATCAGTAGAGAAGGCACTAGGCCTAAAAGTACAAACGAGGTTGGGTTGGGCAAAGCTAGGGAAAGGATGGGAAGGGAATCCTAGCAAATCTCCAATTGGTGAGTTGGCAGATTTGCAGGATTACGAGGGAATCCCAACCAGATAGGGTTGGGATTACAAACTACACCCAACCCGCAAATAACCTACACGATATAGAACATAGTACACAAAGTGTTGACCGCCTATTTCTAACACGCACTGCACTCCCCTGGTGCACCTACGCGCCTACCCATGTATAGTCCACCCACGCAGGTTGGTTGACTCACCTCCTGCTTGGTGGTGAAGAGCAGCACTTGCTGGAAGAGCTCCGACTTAAGGCTGTGAGCCAAGAGGGTGATGAGCACAAACATGGTCAGATCCACCACCGCACTCCTCGTGTCCATCCTCAGCCCGTAGTCATACTTATACAGCCCGACAATACTAAACGGGTTGCATGACAGCGCGGGCAGGTACGGGAAATACGGGCACTGGTAGACCAGGGAAGCGGTGATCAGCAGGAAGTTGTATGCTCGGAGGTAGTTCAGGACAGTGGTCTGCCCTCGGAGAATCGCCGCGTGTTTTCGCGTGCTGAGTAAGGAGAGGGCAAGGTAGCCGCAGTGTAGGAGGTCGTATTGGAGGGTTCCTGTGGCGAAGACTAGTATGAGGACGATCCAAAGGAGGTATTTGTAGTAGAGGAATCGCCAGTGGTCCAGAAAGGTCCAGCTGGGTGAGGGCCCTTCTGAGAGATCGTGCCAGGGGGAGGCGGGAGGGTGTGGGGAGGAGGGGGAGGGGGAGGAGGAGGGATGGAGGGAAGGGGGAGGCGGGAAGGAGGGGTGGGGATGGTGGGGGGAGCGGGGGGTTGAGAGTGGAGGGAGGGGTGGCGGAGGGAGGGAGGTCCATCGGGTGAGGTGCGGTGTGGTGTCGAGCGGGAATGATGGGTTTGGATGGGCAGAGGAGGAAGAGGAGTCGGAGGTGGTGGAGGCGGAGGAGGAGAAAGGGGAGAGGAGGAGACAGGAGAGGAGGAAGACGATGAAGTAGGCGCAGAGGATCCGACGGTCGTCAACAATGCCACCTGCCAGCAAAGGGAGGTAGGGGAGAAGGGATGAGGCGAGGTGTAAGAGGTGATAAAGGTGCAAAATGTGGCAAGGGTGAGGGGAGGGATGAAGAGAGGTGCAAGTGGTGCAAGAGGTGAAAAGGATGCAGGCATGATGACCATAGGTCAACACCTCAGCCAGCCACAACACACATAGGTTCGACTTTTGAGGCGCCTCAAAAGTCGTCTCTTATCCAGGACCCTTCAGAACACGCATAGGTTCCTTCGAGTCAGTGCTGAGCCAGGGGTGCAGGGGTGCAAGGGGTTCAAGTCGGTGGTTCCTTCGAGTCAGTGCTGAGCCAGCAGCTTCAATCAACTCAACTCACCCAACCACCTCACCAGCAATTCAAGAGCACCCATCACTTAAGCATACACACCCAACCCAACCGCAGATCAACTCACCGAGCCAGCAGTCCCAGCAGGTGGGGTCCTGTGAGTCCGTGCTGAGCCAGCAGTCCTGACAGTTGCGGCTGTGTGTCTTGGGCGGGTGGGGCCGCCTGTCGACATTGAACACCAACCCAATCGCAGCTCACCTCACCCAACCGCACTCACCGAGCCAGCAGTCCCAGCAGGTGGGGTCCTTGGAATCTGTGCTGCGCCAGCAGTCCTGGCAGTTGCGGCTGTGCGTCTTGGGTGGGTGCGGCCGCCTGTTGATGTTGCTGAATAGCCCTCCTCCGCTCACGTTGCTAACCTCCGCTGAATGCCAAAGAGAGTTTTCGCTGAGCCCGTTAGGGAAATAGGCAGGCGGGTTTAAGGGAGAGCTTGGGTGCGTTTGCGGAGGGAAGGAGAGCGAGAGCGAGCTAGGATGAGGGTGTGGTGGGAGGAACACGCTCAGAAGAAAACGCTGCCTGTCTTGAGGCGACTGTGGATTCAGTAGCGATCCAGGTGTGTGCGAGGGAGAGAGTCCGGAAGGGTAATGAAAAGGAGGTGGGGGACCAGTCCGGTAGTGAAAGGTAGGGGATGCAGGAGGGGTGTGTGAGGGAGGGGGTGCAAGCGGGGGGTGGTGGAAGGGAGGGGGGCCGGCGAGCATGTAGTACTGCCAGAGGGTGATTGCAGCGAAGGTGACTGTAAGGAGCGGCCAGAGCAGACGGACGAGGCGGGGAGGGAGAGCGATGCAGAGGCCGACGATGGATGTGTAGAGCAGCGAGACAATGTTCTTGACTGCGAAACTGGCGACCAGCAGGAAGAGAACCACCACCTGAGGGGAGGGGGGTGGGATGGCATAGGAGGGTCTTTCATTCAGAAGGAACACAAAGAGCAGCAAGACAATGTTCTTGACTGCGCAACTGGCGAGTCGACCAGCAGGAAGAGCACCGCCACCTGAGGGGAGCGGGAAGGGCAAGGAATGGCACGGGAGGGGTAAAGAGCAGCGAGACAATGTTCTTGACTGCGAAACTGGCAACCAGTAGGTACAGCACGACCACCTGCAGGGAATGGGAGGGGAACGGGATGGCGTGGGAGGGGTTTTGATAAACAGAGGGGTACAGAGCAGCGAGACAATGTTCTTGACTGCGAAACTGGCAACCAGTAGGTACAGCACGACCACCTGCAGGGAATGGGAGGGGAACGGGATGGCGTGGGAGGGGTTTTGATAAACAGAGGGGTACAGAGCAGCGAGACAATGTTCTTGACTGCGAAACTGGCAACCAGTAGGTACAGCACGACCACCTGCAGGGAATGGGAGGGGAACGGGATGGCGTGGGAGGGGTTTTGATAAACAGAGGGGTACAGAGCAGCGAGACAATGTTCTTGACTGCGAAACTGGCAACCAGTAGGTACAGCACGACCACCTGCAGGGAATGGGAGGGGAACGGGATGGCGTGGGAGGGGTTTTGATAAACAGAGGGGTACAGAGCAGCGAGACAATGTTCTAGAGCGAAAAGAAGGCGCTTAAGTGAAGAACTCCATAGAGTGAGAACAAAGGAGTTTACATGGAATCCATACAGATACAGTGAAAAGAAGTGTGCTGCTCAATTCTGCACTGATGCTCACATAGATTGTTGAGTTGACTCACAAGAATTGGCACAAACAAACTGTCAAGGCACATTCCCGCACCTCAACTCCATAGAGCAAGAAAAGGAGCTTATGTGAACTCCTTAGAGGAAAGTGATGGTGCTTACATGAAATCGACACAAATCAAGGCAAAGAACGCACCTGAACTTCATGGAGCGATAAGAACAAGGCGCTTACATGAAATCCGTAGAGTGAAAAGAAGTGTGCCACTGTGTTTTGCACCGCTGCCCACATCGACCGCAGCTGCTGCCGGTACCGCCGCGCCTCCTCTGATTGGTCCTCCTCCTCATCCTCCTCATCATATTCATCCTCCTCATCAAAATCATCATCATATCCATCAAAGAACCCATCTGCAATCATATCATCATGTGCAGATCCAATCTTATCAATCCCCCCTGTGCCCCTGCCATTTTTCCCTTCCTCTGTCTTCCCCTTCCCACTCTTCCCCTCCCCCTCCCCCTCACCCTCACCCTCCTCTTCCCTCTCTTCCACGCTACATGCCTGAACGTGAGCCTCCTCCTCCTGCCGTTCCAGCAAAGCACCACTCACTGCCTTCTCCCCTCGCCTCCATGACCCTCCGAGAGAGAAAACGGAGGAGGAGATCGAGGAAGAGGAGGAGGCATCAGCAGCACCTCGTGCTCGTTTCTCCAAGTCCCCTACACTCCACGACCGGAAACTTATCAGCTTGTATGCTCGCTTTAAGTTTGACCCCCCTCCTCCTCCACCTCCTCCCTCGCCTCTCCCAATCTGGCTTTGAGGAGGGGTAAAATCCTTCTGTGCGTCCTTCTCTGAGCTGTCTCCTCCTCCCCCTCCTCCCCTTCCTCCTCCTCCTCCTCCTCCTCCTCCTCCTCCTCCTCCTCCTCCTCCTCCTCCTCCTCCTCCTCCTCCTCCTCCCACCTCTCCTCCTCCCCCTCCCACTCCCCTCCCTAATCCTCCCTCCTCTCCCCCTCTCACCGTCATTTCCTCTGCATGCACCGAAGCAGCATGCCGAGCCGCAGCTACAGCTTCGGCAGGCACAAACAGCATGCACAGCTCGCCCTTAAGGTCGGCCCGAAGCTCCGGAGGAAGCTCGGCGAGCCAGTGGCAGGAGGCATGGTGGAGCAGGCAAGCAGCTAGGAGCACCGATTTGGCAGTACACCCGGATGTTAAAGCCCACATTCGCCCCCCTGCTACAGTGCTAATAGCGGTGTCTTCATATAAGACAAGGCCCAGCCACTGCACAAGAGGAGATGAGGCATGGGGCAAGAAAAACGACGAGTTTAAGGTGCTTCGGAATAGAGCCACAGTGCAACTAATAGCAGTGTCTTCGTATAGGAATAAGCCCAGCCACTGCACAAGAGGAGATGAGGCATGGGGGATGGGAAAATCATTTCTGAGGGTATGCAAACTTGCTGCAGCAACAATGGTTTTGTCTTTGTACAAGCCAAGGCCTAGTCACTGCACAACAGGAGATGGGGAGTGAGGTGTGAGAGAGAAAGGAACAGATTGAGGTGCTACAAAATCATTCATACAGTGCCAACTGTGCTGCCATCCACAAAACATTGTTACACACCGTATACCCCACAATCCTTGCGACCCAACCATCCACCAGCAGAATAGCACTGTGCTGCTCCACCCAGGCCGCCAGCCCCCACTGCGCCACCACCACCTGGAACCCAAACTCCAAGCCTCAACCTCTTGCCCGTAAACCCTGAGAGCTCTACAAACATAAACCCCAAAGTCACGGCCCCTCACCTGCAGAATCGCGCTGTGCTGGTCCACCCATGCCGCCAGCCCCCACTGTGCCACCACCACCTGGAACCCAAACTCCACCACCAGCGCCGCCCCTCCATATAAGAACATCCATCTCGGCGCCGTGCCCCTCACAGCCCTCAGCCTCACACACCCCAGCACCGCCAGCAGCAGAAACCCAAATCCTATCGCGCTGACAGGATACAGAGCAGCGAAAAACGCCGCGCAGGGGAGGGCGGTGGGACAGTGTAGGATGAGCAGGCGCTTGAAAAAAGACACCCAGCCGAAGAAGCCTATAAGGGGGTATTGTTCGTGGGACCAGGAGATGACTGGGGGTGGAGTGCTGGTTGCCCCTGCTGCCGAGCCTGCAGGTTCGGCAACTGGTTCGGATGCCGGAGCTGCTCCAGCTGCTGTTGCTGCAATAGCAGCGTCAACTGCAGAACCACCAGCAGCAGCACTGGCAGCAGGAGGCGGAGGAGGGAAATGGAAGGATTTGGAGCCCTTTGCGCTGAGATGGAGATCACGAGAAGGAGGGGCGGAGAGCAGGGGGACTGTGGCTGCTGCTCCCTGTGCAACTGAGACCTGTCTCCCTTGCTGACTGGCTTGATGTGCTTGTGTATTATGCTGCCCCTGCTGACTCTGTTCCTGCTGCTGCACGTTTGGAAATGCCTCAAAGCAGAAATAAGCACGAAGGCAGATCAGCAACGTGGCGCAATCAGCAGTTGCCACGTGTACAGGCGTGCCCAGAGGAGCAAAGAGCCCAAGCCGCTCCAGAACAGACAAATCGATCCCAAATTGGGCGGCTAAGACGGATCGAAGCTCGGGGTACAAGCTACAGTACCGAAGCAAGAGCACTGTAGCTGCAAATGAGGCGGTCAGTGGCGCCATGTAGGCTCGGAGAGCTGGCGCAGAGGCTCGGAAGACGGAGGTTCGGGAGGAGGAGTGCAACGCAGAGGAGGATCTTCCAGCATGGGAGGAGGTCTGGTGGGAGAGCTGGGAAGAGGTTTGGGAGGAGGTGCGGGAGGAGGTTCGGGAGGAGGATGGCCAAAGAAAGAGCCAGACCCAGATGATGAGGAGGAGGAGGAAGCAGAGGGAGACAGCAGATGGGTGCATATGGGTTAGAATGGTGAAGAATGCAGTGAGGATGAAGTAGGTGTTGGCCTCTGTTGCTAAGGCAGACGGGTACGCCAAGCAGAGATACGGCCCTGCAGGCAAGCAGAATGAAGGAAGGGGGGTTGGGAGATTGGGGAGGAGGAGTCTTTTTTCTAGACGGCTAAACGATTAAGTCTGTTGCAAAAGCAGAGGGTATGCCAAGCAGAGATACAGACATGCAAGCGAGCAGGAGGCCGCTAGCTACCTCCAGAACCAGCCAGCCTACGTATTGCAAGCAGAACGCACGCACCGCACCGCACCGCACAGCACAGCACAGCCCCCACACAGTACCACCACACACACGTACACGGAGGGCCCTTGGAGGGAGGCAGGAGGAGACTGTCTGGGTGCGGCTTTAACTGAAGAGCCGCAGCCATGGGAGGCGGGCAGCAGGCAGCAAGCTCGAACAGCGGCCACATGAAATGTACCTTTATATCATGCATTCATACAACATTACAGCCCACACACAGTGCCACCAGACTTACAGGGAGGGCCCTTGGAGGGAGGCAGGAGGAGACTGTCTGGGTGCGGCTTTAACTGAAGAGCCGCAGCCATGGGAGGCGGGCAGGAGGCAGCTAGCTCGAGCAGCAGCCATGGGAAGGGGTGGTGGGGGAGAGAGTGTGTGGTAGCAAGGGATTGCTGCAGGGAGGAGCGGGCGCGAGCCATGGCGTAGGCAAGCAGGAGGATGCCGGCTGGAGGGGTGATGGCCTGGGGGGTCAGGGCAGGGGGAATACCTGGGAATGGGGGGACGGGGCAGAACGGCAGGAAGGGAAGAGCAGGGAGAGAGGTGAAGATGCAGATATATGAAATTTGCACAGGCAGGAGGAAGCTAGCTCGAGCAGCGGCCATGGGAAGGGGCGGTGAGGGAGGGAGTGTGTGGTAGCAAGGGAATGTTGCAGGGGGGAGCAGGCGCGGGCCATGGAGTAGGCGAGAAAGTGGATGCCACGCTGGGATGATGGCCTGGGCCGTCAGGGATGACCAAGGTTGTGGGGAGGGAGGAGGGAGCGACGTGCGGTGGGGAAGGGGAAAATACGGGGTGAAAAGGCACAGTGGTAACTGGTGAGATGGCCGAGGTAGATGCGCCAAGGCAGGGTTGGTGGCAGCTAAGAGCAGCAGCAGGCGCAGCAAGGAGCAGCAGAAGGTGCAGCACGCATGTGTGGGAAGGAAGGAGGAGGGTAAGACAGGCGAAGAGAGAGTGGACTCACCAGCTGGCTACTGAACTCACCAAGGAGTGACAGCAGGGCGAACAGCCTTGCAGTAGGGCGGCAGAGGGAGATAAGTGATGGCAGGTTCAGTGGCAGCGAAGAGCAGCAGCAGGTGCAATGAGGAGTAGGGTAGGGAAACTGGATGAGAGATGGATGAGAGGAAAGAAGACTCACCAGCTGGTTACTGAGAATGTCCTTACACTCACTTCACTTATCAAGGAGGGAGAGCAGGGCATTCCAGTAGGGCGGCAGAGGGAGATAAGTGTTGGCAGGTTCAGTGGCAGCGAAGAGCAGCAGCAGGTGCAATGAGGAGTAGGGTAGGAAAACTGGATGAGAGATGGATGAGAGGAAAGAAGACTCACCAGCTGGTTACTGAGAATGTCCTTACACTCACTTCACTTATCAAGGAGGGAGAGCAGGGCATTCCAGTAGGGCGGCAGAGGGAGATAAGTGTTGGCAGGTTCAGTGGCAGCGAAAAGCAGCAGCAGGTGCAGCAAGGAGGAGGGTAGGACAAGTGAGGAGAGAGGACTCACCAGTTGGTTACTGAACTCACCAAGGAGTGACAGCAGGGCTTTCCAGTAAGCGGGCAGAGGGAGCTGCCCCAATGCAGGGTCAGTGGCAGCAAAGAGCAGTAGAAGATGCAGGGAGGAATAGGCGATGCAGGCTGAGTAGACAGCATGGGCTCGTGAGGGGTAGACCAGCAGCATCACCAGTAGTAGCACTGCCCATCATGATAGCAGCGCATAAAGGGGTTTGCAGGGGCGGAAAAAGATAGAGGAAACAATTTCGAGGCGCCTCAAAAGATGGAAAATCGGCCTGCATTCTCTCAAATTACACCATATGGGGTAGACCAGCAGCTACACCAGCAGCAGCAGCTACACCAGCAGCAGCACTACAGCAGTACGCATACACAGGCGGACAGGCGGGCAGCCCAGAGACCCTGCCACAGCTTGTGCCCCACCCTCATGTGACATGACATGCATGTGCATTCACGTTATGAACTGCACATACCATAGGGGGCGCGCAGCAGGGCGAGCTTGTCTGCCGCGTGGACAAGCACAAGGAGGACAAAGGCAGAGAAGGCGAGCAGGCGGGCAGCCCAGAGGGAGAAGGAGAGCAGGAAGCACAGCCACCCATCATGCCCTGCTGCTGCCAGTTCCGCTGCCACTTCTGCTGCCACTGCATCTCTGTCCTGTGTTGCTGCTGGCATAGCCATTGCTTCGCCACCACTGCTGATCCCTCCCGTATTGTCACCCCTGTCAATGCTCCCTGCTGCAGAAGCAGCAGAAGCATCTGCAGCAGAGGTGGAAGAGGAGGAAGTGACAGGGGCAGAGGAGGAGGAAGAGGAGGCAGAAGAGGCAGAGGAGGAGGGAGAAGAGGCAAGCATGGCGGTGCAGGCAAAGACGTAGGCTGTGAGGAGGAGTGCTGTGGTGAAGTGGAGAGCAAGGGGGAGGGCTGGATTGGGGAAGCGATGCAGCCCAATAGCTTGGCAGATGGTGACCTGTAAGGCAAAAGGGAGCGAGGAGGAGAGGGAAGAAGCACGAGGGGAAAGAGGGAAGAGATGACGAGGCAGGCTCACAGAGCAACAAACTGCTGCAAGTTTACAAGGGATTCACTTTTGACTTACAAGAGGAGCGGCTTTTGAGTCGACTCAAAAGGCAGGCTCACAGAGCAACACACTGCTGCAAGTTTACAAAGGATTCACTTTTGACTTACAAGAGGAGCGGCACGGGTGAGATATTAACGAGGTAGGATGCTATCAGCCATGCGAGCAGATAGAGCAGGAGGCAGCCTCTCGGAGCAACAAAGCGGCAAGCCACGTATTTACAACTGACTTACAAGAGGAAGGAATGGAGCAGGTGTGATGTTAACTAGGTACGCTGCTATAAGCCACGCGAGCAGATAGAACAGGAGGCAGCGGTGGGTGTTGCGGAGAGTGGTGGTTGAGGGGGAGGAGACGAGGAGGAGCAGGAGGGAGGAGAGGAGAGGCCACGCGAGGAGGCAGTGAAAGGAGAGGCAGAAGAAGACAAGCGATGCCGTGCAGATTGCAGGGCCGAAAACGACCAGGGTGGCACAGAGCTGCTGAGATGCGGACGACCTGGGGGGGACAGAGGGGTTGAGAGTGGTGGAATGGGTTGTGAGGGGCACAACAAGGCAGAGACAGAGGAGTTTTGAGGCCTCAAACTGGCCAGTAATAACTCAGAACAACAAGGCAGAGGGGGGGTTCACCACGACAAGGCAGTAAACTGGCGTCTGAGTCCCTTCCCATTGTCATCCTCCTCAGCGTCTGCATCTCCCCCCACCAACTCCTCTCCTCTCGATGCACTGCCTGCTCCCAGTTGCCTCAGTGGCACATCCCTCTCTCCCCTCCAATTCCCCCCTTTCTCTCCTCTCTGCTGCTCCCTGTTCTCGAACCCACCCCTCGCCTGTGCCCCCCCTCGCCACTGCACGCCTCCCACACCTGCCCCTCTCACTCTAGCTGCTAGCGCTTTTGCAACTACCTCCTCCTGCTGCTCCAGCTCCCATTCCCCTTCCCCGCCCTCCTCCTCTTCCCTCTCCTCCTCCCCAGCCGCATCATCCCCTTCCTCCTCCTCCTCCTCAATCACCTGATACAGAATCTGGGATGCTTTCGAAGCTAAAAGAGGCAGGCTCGGCCCGAGCCAGGCGGAGGTTTGGGAGGAACGTTGGGGGTAGAGGCCAGGGGTTGGGTGCAAGTGTGGGCGTGGAGCTTGAGACGAGGGTGGGCGGGAAGAGGACCGAGTGCGGGAAGAATGATGGGAGGTAGCGAGGGAGCGATGGGAAGACAGCTGGTGTGAAGGAGAGATCGGAGAGGGAACAGGGGAGAAGGGAGAGGAAAGAAGAAGGCTGAGAGGCTGAATAACAGAGAAGAGTTGAAGGGAGAGGTACGGGGATACGAGGAGCAAGCCATACAAAACGATATATATATATATATATATATATATATATATGTTTGAGAAAGAAAGGAAAAAGAAAGCAAAACAAAACAAAACAAAACAAATAACACCCAACACCACCCCACTCACCAGTGCAAAGGCGGAGAGCAGGAGAGCCGTTTCCAGCACATGCAGCAGCTGCCGCGGATCCAGAATCTCCCTCACGTCCAATCGGAAGAGGCCAAGTGTCTGGCCCCACTGCTCGAAGGGCCGCCAGTGCTGTGAGAGAGGCAGCTGGAAGAGGAAGAGGGCGAGGATGTGTAGAGCAATGTATGCGCGCAACAGAGCACGGCGCCTGGGACATGGGGAAAGGGGGAGTAGGGGATGGGGAGAGGAGAAGGGGAGAAGAGGACGAAGAGGGAGAAGGGGGGATAAGGGGAAAGGAAGAGAAAAAGGCAAAGTGTGGGACAGAGAGGGGGCTAGAAGGGAACGAGTGTGACGATCACGTGCAGGTGCGATGTCTCAAAACTTTATGAGAACAATACTAAGGAGACCAAGGAACGAATGCGCGAATCATTTCACCTGAATGGCCGTAGGTCTAACAGGCGGGGTCTAGTCGCGAGCCACCAGCAGCAGGCGAGAATGTAGGGAGAATAGACCCAACAAGGCCTGAGAAGGGCGAGCGACGCGAGAATGAGGATCTGGAGCATCGCGGCCATGGCACCAGAAGGTTTCGCCGTCGTTCTGGCGTCATTAATTCCGTCTGGAGTGACGACATTGACGTTTAAGCTTCTCGATCCATCTGGGCCGTTCGTGCCACGTGGCATGAGGGGTTGATCTGGCTTAGCGAGGGGTTGCAAGAACGGAGAATCGTTCCTTAGAGTCGTGACGATAGCGCGTCACCATTTGTACTATCGACGCGAAGTTTTGCTAACGGCCTACTATCAGCCTGAGTGCTACAGTACAAGTCTGAATAGAAGTTTTTACTGTCTTTAGGCTCCATGGAGAGCACATCTCATGAATCGACAGCGACAACTGAAGCACAAAAAAGAGAAGACTTCATTCTTGATGTGCAGTCTGACACATTGAGTGCCAAAACAATTCACAATATCTATTGTGGCATTTATTGTGTTGACTAATGGGGAATGATGAAACCATGATAAATTCATAAGCAACTGCGGTTTGGTCTGGTGCAGAGCGGTTTCGAGCACAAAAACATCCTTGAGAATGTCATGGAGATGGACGCAACGGACACCAAGCCATGAATGAAACGAGGTCCTTGAGAATGCCGAAAAGAGCAGTCCACCAGCGGCGCGAGATGACATGCTGACAGTTCCGAGGTTCTGACAAGACAACTGCCCAACAATTCAGCCAATCAGCTTGCGCCAGGTTTACGTTTCGTTCTCCGAACCGAACATGACGATGGCACCCATTAAAAAGTGCGCAAAGTGTACAGACTAATTGTAAGGAAAATTCCTTTTCCTTACTTCGCATCCCTGCTCAACGCGTACATCACTGTAGCACCACAGTCAGCACCGTTACCACTCGCAACCCTCGCATCGACAATCTGCCCGCCATCTTCGCACGTCGCACCCCGACCTCACGGCTCGGCGAGTAACCCGCGCTCCGGGCCTCCACTTCGACACTTTTCCCAACCTCAGTCCCAGGCCCGTCACGCGACAACCACAGTCCATTACCGTTACCACTGTAGTTTCGCTATATATTCTTCGCTCATACCTTCACTCATTGTACTCTTGTTTCGATAGTGCAATTCTCGTTCGTTCACTCAATTGCACTCGTAACACTTGGTATTCAGAGCCTACGATCTCTTCTCGGACCGCACCCACACCTTCGCTTCCCCACTATCTCAATTTTTGGGGGGGGTAGATGTCTCTCAGCGACACAGCACCACCGCTCGTAGTGCTCTCTCGTAAACACGCACGGCCACGACTGAGGCTCTCGCTGAGCTCGCCCGACACCCCCGCCATGGCCGAATTCACGCTCGCCACATTGACGCAGGAGCAGCTCGACCGTCTGGTGCGCCAACTCGAAGATTCGGCGCTCGAAATTGCGACGCTCACGGCGGAACGTGACTCCGCGCATCCGCAATCAACGACGAACACTCCACCGCCACCACACGCACCGACAAATGCATCTGCACAATCAGACGAGCCGATCGTCATCTCGTCCGGCACACCAACACAAAACAACAGCGTGGGACAGCGCTCAGGCGCAGCCAGCGATGGCGCCGCCCAGCCGATGCCTGGCATGGGAGGAAACAGGGTCGCACCAAGCCCGCGGGAGCCTCGCGAAGCCCGTCGGCACGTGGAGTTCGCGGCGACAAGTGGCGAACAGGCCATCATGGCACCAATGCCACTCAAGCCGCAACGCCCGCCCTGCTTCGACCCGAGCCAGCGTGGAGGTCCGACGGTTCAATCGTGGGTTTTCACGATGAACGTCTTATTCGACGCGAATTACGTCGAGTCGGACGCAGCGAAGATTCGGTATGCCGTTTCGCTGTTAAGGGGCCCCGCCATGGACTGGTGGCGAGTCATCGTGACGTCGCCACGCGCCTACGAGCCACCGTCGCAAGAGGAAGGGCCCACGGGTCCAGCTGTCACCTGGAGTTCACTCTGCGAGACCGCCCAATACAGCACGTGGGATGCGTGGTGCGCAGGGCTTCGGGCGCGCTTCGAGCCGATCGCGGCTTCTATTTCGGCGCGTCAGAGATTGCGCACTTGGCGGCAGCTCGGGTCGGTTCAAGATTACACGAGCGGCTTTCTCGCACTTTGCGAGCAGGTCGGCTACATGCACGAAGCGGAGCGGGTGGACCGTTACGTCGGAGGGCTGAAGCCGGACATCTCGCATGAAATCATGCTACGCGGGCTCTCGAACTTCAACGAGATTCTCGCGCTCGCCGAGAAAATCGACATTCTACGCCGACCGAGACCGGGGTCCTACTACGGACATCGTCCTCGGGGACCGATCGAGCACGCCACTGTAAACGCTGTTGCAACGAATGCAGCTGCCGCACCGTTTAAGGGGCGCTGCTTTGCTTGCAACAGGCCGGGCCATCGCAAGAGCGAATGCCCAGAGGAGCTAAGGCGCCGCGGAGCAGAGCAGGGGAGGGAGTCTCAGAGGCAGGGAATCGCCAGCAGTCAGTAGAAGTTGGGCCAACTACTGACGAGACTGCCTGCTCGCCCAACCGCACCGACCCTCACCGAGTCACAGTACCGATTCAAGCCATCGATCAGGCTCGGATGGATAAGGAGGGTACAACGACGGATTGCCCAGTACTGATCCACGGGAAAATACAGGGAGCAGCAGTGAAGATTTTTATTGACGGAGGAGCAAGCCATAGTTTAGTTAATACCGCAACTGCGCGAAAATTACAACTGACACTTAGTCGCTGCTTACCTGAGATCGACGCACGCTTAGTTGACGGCACGCCGCTGGCCATACGGGAGAAGGTGGAGAGAGTAAAAATTCGCTGCGGGGGAAACTTCGGGTTTACACAGGAAATGCTCGCGACGACATTGGATGGGCATGATGTTTTACTGGGACGTGATTGGCTACGACGGTACAACCCACGAATCGACTGGACGACGGGTAGCTGCACTGTGCGAAGTAGCGGTAACTGGGTCATGCTACCTCGCTGGCAGTCGCCCGAGTCGTCAACGGTCCACGTCAACGCCATCACGATGAAATGGGTTGTCGCCGCTGGAGCTGACGTGTACGCAGTAGATATAGCATTAGTAGGAGAAGCGGAGCAGCCGAGCGATTTTCAGAAACTGTTGGCAGCAGTACCGCCCGAACTACAGGAACTGTTGAAACGGTACCCGGGGATTTTTCCAGACGACTTACCGGAAGGGCTGCCACCTCAGCGGGCGCATGATCATAGGATCGAGTTAGAACCGGGGGCACAGCCAACTGTACAGCGCCAGTTCAGACTGACACAGCCCGAGCTCGACGAACTGAGGAAGCAGTTAGATTATTTGTTAGAGAAGCAGTTTATTCGACCAAGTTCGTCACCATTCGCGGCACCGATACTGTTCACACCGAAAAAAGACGGAGGGTTTCGCATGTGCATCGATTACCGAGCGCTCAACAGGGTAACAGTCAAGTCGCGGTACCCCATTCCCCGCGCCGACGAACTGATCGACCAACTGCGAACAGCACGGGTGTTTTCGAAAATAGACTTACGGGGGGGTTACCATCAGATTCGGGTCGAACCATCGGACTGCGCCAAGACAGCATTTAAGACTAGGTACGGGTCGTTTGAGTACACGGTGATGCCTTTCGGGCTGACCAACGCGCCCGCAACATTCCAGATGACCATGAACGAGGCGTTTAGGCCACTCTTAGATAAATGCGTGATAGTTTACCTCGACGACATCCTCGTCTACAGTCGCGACAAGCAGCAGCATTTAGCGGATCTTGTTAAGAGAAGGAATGAGTATTAGGGCCTAGGCTTAGTAGCCTAGGCCAGAAGGTCGAGAGAGTTGGTAAGGAGAAAAGGGGGGTTCAATAAAGAGAGAAGGTACAAGGATATAGGCAAAGCAAGCAAGGTGCACCACCAAACAATGTAACACTACACTAACTACTGCTACAAGCAGTTTATATAAGAAATATATTTTAACACACCCCCTAAACTGCTTGCAGCAGGAAGCTAATGCAGAGACACCCCCTGAAGGGGTACACCAAGCGCAGCAGAAGGAGAGGGCAAGTGAGGAGGAGGGACTATATGAGGAGAAGCTGCTGGCAGGTGAAGCTGCTGGCTCCAAGGCGGCTGCTTCCTGGAACCTTCCCCAGTCCTCCAAATCCCCCTTCCACACTCCTCGACAACCCTAGCACCTCTCCCCCAGTTCCCCCACACCCTCACACCCACCCCCCCCAGCAGCAGCTGCAGGAGTGGGAGAGAAAGGAGGAGGAGGGGAAGGGGATCACACACACCCATCACCCCCATACCCGCCACCCCCATAGCCTCCGTTCCACGGCTGCACGCGCAGCAGGGAGACGAAGAAAGGGGGGGGGAAAGAGCAGGGGCAGCACAGGCACGGGCAGGGCAGGGCAGCCATGCGTGCAGGGCAACAGCGCGGAGCAGAGCAGGGGCAGCAACAGGCGGCAACGGGCAGCACAGGCTCGGGCAGCAACGGTCGGCAACGGGCAGCACACGCGCGGGCAGCAACGGGCGGCGACGGGCAGCACAAGCACAGGCAGCAACGGGCGGCAACAGGCAGCACAGGCACGGGCAGCAACGGGCGGCAACGGGCAGCACAGGCACGGGCAGCAACGGGCGGCAACGGGCAGCACAGGCACGGGCAGCAACAGGCGGCAACGGGCAGCACAGGCACAGGCAGCAACGGGCGGCAACAGGCAGCACAGGCACGGGCAGCAACGGGTGGCAACGGGCAGCACAGGCACGGGCAGCAACAGGCAGCAACGGGCAGCACAGGCACAGGCAGCAACAGGCGGCAACAGGCAGCACAGGCACGGGCAGCAACGGGCGGCAACGGGCAGCACAGGCACGGGCAGCAACGGGCGGCAACGGGCAGCACAGGCACGGGCAGCAACGGGCGGCAACGGGCAGCACAGGCACGGGCAGCAACAGGCGGCAACGGGCAGCACAGGCACGGGCAGCAACGGGCAGCAACGGGCAGCACAGGCACGGGCAGCAACGGGCGGCAACAGGCAGCACAGGCACGGGCAGCAACGGGCGGCAACAGGCAGCACAGGCACGGGCAGCAACGGGCGGCAACGGGCAGCACAGGCACGGGCAGCAACGGGCGGCACGGGCAGCACAGGCACGGGCAGCAACGGGCGGCAACAGGCGCACAGGCACGGGCAGCAACGGGCGGCAACGGGAAGCACAGGCACGGGCAGCAACGGGCGGCAACGGGCAGCACAGGCACGGGCAGCAACAGGCGGCAACGGGCAGCACAGGCACAGGCAGCAACGGGCAGCAACAGGCAGCACAGGCACGGGCAGCAACGGACGGCAACGGGCAGCACATGCACGGGCAGCAACGGGCGGCAACGGGCAGCACAGGCACAGGCAGCAACGGGCGGCAACAGGCAGCACAGGCACGGGCAGCAACAGGCGGCAACTGGCAGCACAGGCACGGGCAGCAACAGGCAGCACAGGGAGGCAGCCGTACTGAGTCCAGGAGCGGCGGCGCATGCAGCTGCAGGGTCGGCGCCGTGGGCTGCTGCTGGGGCGGCTCGCGGGGTCCCTGGGGCGGCATTGCGGGCTGCTGCAGGGTCGGAGCCGCGGGGTCCAGGGGCGGCTGCTGAGGTCCAGGGGCGGCTTCACCAGGGGCAGCTGCTCTAGGGGCCAGGGGCGGGTGCTCTGGGTCCAGGGGCGGCTGCAACAGGGGCGGCTGCACCAGGGGCCAAGGGCGGCTGCGGAGGTCCAGGGGCAGCTGCACCGGGGGCGGCTGCTCCAGGGGCCAGGGGCGGCTGCTCTGGGTCCAAGGGCGGCTGCTCCAGGGGCGGCGGCGGCTGGTCCAGGGTCCAGGGGCAGCTGCTCCAGGGGCGGCGCTGGTGCATGGCAGGCCCGCGCGCGGCTGCAAAGCTGGCGCGAGCGCAGGTGAGGCAGAGGCGGTGGCCAGGGGGGAGGGCGCCGCGACGAGCAGGGACGGCGCCCAAGGGGCGCCGCGACGAGCAAGGGCGACGCCCCAAGGGCGCCGCGACGAGCAGGGGCGGCGTCCAGGGGGCGCCGCGACGAGCAGGGCGACGCCGCGCGGGTCCTGCAGGGGCGTCGCGACGAGCAGGAGCGGCGACGCCCGGGTCCCGCAGGTGCGTCGCGACGAGCAGGAGCGGCGCCTCGCAGGGCGCCGCGAAGTGGAGGGTACGGGTGGGCAAAATAGGCCCGCGCGTGGACGTGAGGCAGGCGCGCAGGCGGCGTGAGGGCAGGCCGCGCGCGGGGCAGGAAGACGCCGCGCGCCCAGGGCGCACGGCGGGCAGAAAACCGCCGTGCGCCCCGAGCACACGGCGAGAAAAATACGCCGCGCGCCCGAGGCGCGCGACAGGACGATAGGCAGCGGAAGCAAATTGGTGGGCCCGTTAAGGAAGGCAGCAGGAAGGTACCTGCTCTGATACCATGTTAAGAGAAGGAATGAGTATTAGGGCCTAGGCTTAGTAGCCTAGGCCAGAAGGTCGAGAGAGTTGGTAAGGAGAAAAGGGGGGTTCAATAAAGAGAGAAGGTACAAGGATATAGGCAAAGCAAGCAAGGTGCACCACCAAACAATGTAACACTACACTAACTACTGCTACAAGCAGTTTATATAAGAAATATATTTTAACAGATCTCGAAGCAGTATTTAAAGTTTTAGCGGAACATCGGTTACTAACCAAGGGCTCTAAGTGCGAGTTTTTTCGGGACAGACTCGAATTTTTGGGGCACGTTATTTCGGAGGCTGGAGTTGAAATCGACCCAAAGAAGCTGGATACGGTAAAAGCCTGGCGTCCCCCGACGAACATCACGGAACTGCAGAGTTTTTTAGGGTTCGTTAATTATGTTCGCCGGTTCGTCCCCGACATGGCACAGTTGACTGCCCCGCTGACGGATTTACTGCGAAAAGGGGTCGCTTTTACGTGGGGGGGGAAAGAGCATGCTGCCTTCTCTGCCCTGAATAATGTTCTCTGTTTACCGCCCGTCCTGCGCATCGCCGACCCACACCGCCCCTTCGAGGTTGTTACAGACGCAAGCGACATCGCCATTGGAGCCGTACTGCTACAGGACTTCGGCAACGACCTACAGCCCATCGCATACGAGTCACGAAAACTGCATCCGCCCGAGCGAAATTACCCGATACACGACCGCGAAATGCTCGCGATCGTGCATGCGTTCAAAGTGTGGCGCTGCTACTTGACCGGCGCAGACGTGACAGTACGGACAGACCACCGATCACTACAGTACCTCCGCGCACAGCCCCACCTCAACCCACGACAGATTCGGTGGCTCGATTTCCTCGAGTCAAACTTCCACTACACAGTCACCTATAAAAAAGGAGCCTCAAACATCGCCGACGCACTGACCCGCCCCACTGCCCAAATCCACGCGATACTACTCGCCCAGACCAGCCTGCTACTGACAGGACTATTTACCCACGGATATCAAACGGACCCATTCTTCACAGGAGGAAATTCGCAGCAGTTCGCAGCAGCCAAGGGAGTCTATTACGTAAAAGCCGGGACCGACCGCATCTGGGTACCAGGGTACACACTGCTACGGGAATTACTATTACAAGAGGCACACGACGGGGTTACCTCGGGACATTTCGGGGTAGAGAAAACACTGCAGCAGCTGCAGCGGTATTATTACTGGCCCGAAATGTTGACCGACGTGCAGCGACACGTGGCATCGTGTCCCACTTGCCAGATCATGAAGTCAACACGGAAGCGGCCGGCGGGACAGTTGCAACCAATCCCACCTCCAGAGCGTGCTTGGCAGCAGGTGACGATGGACTTCGTCACGGGGTTACCGGCCGGGGCGAGTGGAAATGACGCGATCCTGGTCGTCGTCGATCGACTGATGAAAATGGCACACTTCGCAGCCTGCAAAAAATCAATCACAGCCGAAGAAACAGCCCGCCTCTTCATCTCTACCGTCGTTCGACTGCACGGGATACCAGCATCAATCATCAGCGACAGAGACACGAAATTCACCAGCAACTTCTGGCGGAACCTGTGGCAGCAGTTCGGCACGCGACTACAGTTTAGTTCATCGTACCACCCCGAAACAGACGGACAGACAGAACGGACAAATCAGACCATGGAACAGCTCATCCGGGCCACGTGCGACGACCCAAACACGTGGGAACAGCAACTGCCACTCATCGAATTCGCATACAACAACGCCCCATCCGCCACGACCCAACAGTCACCGTTTTACCTGAATTACGGACAAGACCCAACAGTACCCATGACCCCGAATCCCGACAACCCGGTTCCACGCGCGCAACAGTTCGCCGAAATTTTGCAAGCAGCACGGATCAGGGCAGCAGACGCAATTAAAAAAGCTAACATCATCGCTAAACGCAACGCCGACCGCCACCGCAGACCTGTCACTTACCAGCCCGACGACTTAGTTTTGCTCGACACCCAAAATCTCCGACTGCCCATCACCCCGAAACTCCGCCCCCGATACTGCGGGCCATTTCGCATAAGCCACATGCTTACACCTGTCACCGCCCACCTCCTCCTCCCTGCTGACTGGTACGCCAGCCCCTCGTTCCACGTCAGCCTGCTTCGCCCTTACGTCCCGTCCACGAGCCAACTGCCACGCAATCGCCCAGCCAGCATGACAAGACCACCGACTGAACCAATCATCACCCCCGAAAAAATCCTGAGTCACAGAGTTCGCGACCCTCGAGGAGCCCGAAGGATCGAGTTCTTACTCCGCCGGAAGGACCGTACACCCACCGAAGACAATTGGGTTCCCCTGGACAGAATCGAAAACCACCCCGTCCTCACCGAGTATCTGCGCAGCCGAAATTTCAGGGATGTACACGCACTCTCGTAAGGAGGACCTCCTTAAGGGGGGGGGTAGTGTAAGGAAAATTCCTTTTCCTTACTTCACATCCCTGCTCAACGCGTACATCACTGTAGCACCCAACAACACCGTTACCACTCGCAACCCTCGCATCGACAATCTGCCCGCCATCTTCGCACGTCGCACCCCGACCTCACGGCTCGGCGAGTAACCCGCGCTCCGGGCCTCCGCTTCGACACTTTTCCCAACCTCAGTCCCAGGCCCGTCACGCGACAACCACAGTCCATTACCGTTACCACTGTAGTTTCGCTATATATTCTTCGCTCATACCTTCGCTCATTGTACTCTTGTTTCGATAGTGCAATTCTCGTTCGTTCACTCAATTGCACTCGTAACACTAATCAATAAAATGCAATTTGATAAAGATGTGATCTTGAACCAGAAGCAGCCTTCCTATCCAGCTACCACTCCACTCTAATTTACAGGCCACAAAAATCTAGGTTTTTTTCCTCCTAAGAAATAGAAGCATCTCAACCGCTTCAAATCTTGCTTCTATGTGACCGGATGACCTTCAGGAGAGACTGACAAGTTCAGATTTCAAAGCTTGCTCCGGTGTTGACCCTGTGAAGAACCAGATGCGCCTGGCCCAGATACAACCTGCCTGGATCGGCGCTCCACGGCACGCGACACCTCCCGGATGACCTCCTTGTCAAACACACGCGGCTGGTACAGCCAGCCCCCCCCATCCACCACCAGCGTTGCTCCGTTCACATACTTCCCTGGCAGGTGCAAGGCGTGGAGCAGAGAGGGGGGGGGTACGGGGATAGGGGGAGGGGGAGGGAAGGAGAGGATTGGAGGGGAGGGGGAGAGAGTGAAACGAAGGGGCAAGAGCTAGATTCTGCATGGGCCCTGGGAGGTGGAGGTAGGGAAGCAGCAGGTAAAGCCTGCCCAGGTGCAGCCTGTCTGGATTGGCGCTCCTTGTCAAACACACGCGGCCGGTACAGCCAGCCCCCCCCGTCCACCACCAGCGTCGCCCCGTTCCATGCTATACACTGCGACGTCCCACTTGCAGAGCTAGATTCTGCATGGGCCCTGGGAGGTGGAGGTAGGGAAGCAGCAGGTAAAGCCTGCCCCAGGTGCAGCCTGTCTGGATTGGCGCTCCTTGTCAAACACACGCGGCCGGTACAGCCAGCCCCCCCCGTCCACCACCAGCGTCGCCCCGTTCCATGCTATACACTGCGACGCCCCATTTGCAATAGTGGCACATACATCTGTATGTGCCACTGTACAGCTGGATGTGTACAGGTGGGCACATGCATCGGCGTCGAAGCCCAGCTTTACGAATCCACAAGACCCCTCAAGAACCACTGCGTCAACAAAACTGCTTTCCTGTATATAAGCAGAACCACTACTTAGCTGTCTCAGCAGTGAGATAAACGCAGCCATGGCGATACCCCAGGCGTCCCATATGCGCTGCATCAAGTTGAGCTCCCCGGCATCAATGCCCAGCTTTACACACCCGCATGACTGTCAAGACTGCCAGTGTGTATCACCAGACCCACTCACCCGTGTCTGCTGTGAGGTAGAGAGCAGCCATAGCAATGTCCCAAGGGTCACCCATGCGCTGCATCGGGTTGAGCTCCCCGGCATCGATGCCCAGCTCTGACGGCGCCAGCTTCGCCATGCCTGGCGTCGAACCTATCGGCCCCGGAGCTATCGCATTGGTTCGGATGCCGTAGTCCGTTGCCCACTCGAGGGCTAAGGACCGGGTGGTGGCATCCACTGCAGCCTGGGATAAGGGGAGGGTGGGAGAGAGAGGGAGGAGGATCAGTTCAGTTCAATTGTGTTGGTTCAGATGCATATGTTGGGACATGCCCTGTAGCCCATGCCCACGCCAGCCAGGGCTAAGGACCAGGTAGTCACATCCACTGCAGCCTGAGGTGAGGAGGAGAGAGGGGAGAGGGAGAGGGGGAGGGAGAGAGAGTGTGCGAGTGGAAAGGTGGGGGATGTTTGGCCAACGTTTGTGCAAAGAAGCCTAAAAAAGGTCTAAACGGACTCCTTACACCCCCTTTCTTTGCCCTGACACACACATTTTGCCACAACTCAAAAGCACCTCGTATGTGCACGCACACTAACTCTCACCTTATCAGCCATGACGTGCACTTGGTACCATGCAGCAGTGTAGTGCAGATTACAGTAGGGAAAGCTCATCCACTCACACACCCACTCTCACCTTGCACCACTCTCCCCTTACCCCACTCTCACCTTACCCCACTCTCACCTTACCCCACTCTCACCTTACCCCACTCTCCCCTTACCCCACTCTCCCCTTACTCCACTCTCACCTTACCCCACTCTCACCTTACCCCATTCTCACCATACCCCACTGTCACCTTAGCCGCCATGACGCGCACTTGGTACCATGCAGCAGTGTGGTGCAGATTACAGTAGGGAAAGCTCATCCACTCACACCCACTCCCAACTTGCACCACTCCCACCGTGCCCCTATCCACCTTATCCCACTCCCACCGTACCCCATCCCGCCATACCTCTGTCTCACCTTAGCAGCCGAGACGTGCACTTGGTACCAAGCAGCGGTGTAGTGCAGAGTAGCGCTGATGTTTATAATGGATCCCCCTCCCTCCTCCTCCGCCCTGCCACGCGCCCCCCTCTGCAGGAATGGCCTGGCAGCCAGGCACATGTTGAATGTACCCATGGCATCGATGTCAAGCACTGGAAGGGTGAAGGGAATGAGAAGATCAGGATGCGGAACGCGAAAAGAGGGTGGATGGTTGGGTGGCAGGAACGGCCTGGCAGCCAGGCACATGTTGAATGTACCCACTGCATCTATGTCAAGGACTGGAAGGGTGAAGGGAATGAGAAGAGCAGGATGCGGAACGCGAAAAGAGGGTGGATGGTTGGGTGGCAGGAACGGCCTGGCAGCCAGGCACATGTTGAATGTACCCACTGCATCTATGTCAAGGACTGGAAGGGTGAAGGGAATGAGAAGAGCAGGATGCGGAACGCGAAAAGAGGGTGGATGGTTGGGTGGCAGGAACGGCCTGGCAGCCAGGCACATGTTGAACGTGCCCACGGCATCTATGTCAAGGACTGGAAGGGTGAAGGGAATGAGAAGAGCAGGATGCGTAACGCGAAAAGAGGGTGGATGGTTGGGTGGCAGGAACGGCCTGGCAGCCAGGCACATGTTGAACGTGCCCACGGCATCTATGTCAAGGACTGGGCGGGTATAGACCATGAAGATTGGATTGAAGGCATGCGGAAGGGAAGGGAAGGGAAGGGAAGGGAAGGGAAGGGAAGGGAAGGGAAGGGACATGTTGAGAATGGCAACGGCATCAACATCAGGGACTGGAAGGGCTGCCCAATGAGGGAAGAGAAACGGGAAGAGAGAGGGAAGGGAAGGGATGGAAGGGACGAGAAGGAACGGAAGGGAAACGGAGAACCGGAAACAACTTGCTCTATGCGTCTCTTCGCCTCTTCATGCCTCGCTGCCCTCTCTGCACCTCCCTGCACCTCCCTGCCCCCTTCTACACCTCTTTGCACCTCTCTGACCCTCCCTGCCACTCTCTACACCTCTCGATGCCTCTCTGCCCCCTTCTACACCTCTCTGCACATCTCTGCCCTCTCTCCTCCCCTCTCTGTCCTCTCTCCCCTCGCTGTCCTCCTCCCCCCTCTGTCCTCTCTCCCCTCTCTGTCCTCTCTCCCCTCTCTGCCCTCTCTGCCCTCTCTGCCCTCTCTGCCATCTCTGCCCTCTCTGCCCTCTCTGCCCCTCTATTCTCCTCTCTAAGCCTAGAGGCATGCCTACCTGTTCGAAAGCCATTCACTGAAAGGTCTTCCGCAGCTGCCAGAAAGTTTCCAGCGGCGCCATTGATGAGAACGTCTAGGCGGCCGTATCTCTCCACAGTAGCAGCCACGGCGCTGTGTGCGTCTTCTTTTCGCCTCACATCACCCATGACAGGCAAGGCCTGAGATGAGAAGTGGGCGGTCGGACCAACAAGGGGACGTTAGGAGTGTGTTAAGGCGGCCGTATCTCTCCACAGTAGCAGCCACGGCGCTGTGTGCGTCCTCCTTTCGCCTCACATCGCCCATGACAGGCAAGGCCTGAGAAAAAGGGGACGGTAGACAGGTGAGCGGCTTTGAGAGTCTGAGTCATCACCCATGACAGGGAAGGCCTGCAGGGTGGGTCGATAGTCAGACAAGGGAAAACTAAACTGATAGCGTATGCCTGGAGTAGTAGGGTGTTTTTGAGAATTCTCAAAACACCCTACAGCGTATGCCTGGAGTAGTATCTCTCCATAGCAGCAGCCACTGCGCTGTAAGCGTCCTCCTTTCGCTTCACATCCCAGTGATATGCAAGGCGTGAGAAATGGATGGTACATTTGACCAAGGGGGTGCTGAGACGATATTCATAACAACCAGCAAATTCCACAAGTGGTTACCTGGATTCCCTCCTTCGCTAGCTCGTCTGTTGCTGCTCGTAGCACCGCCCCCCTCCGACCCATGATCGCGACCGTAGCTTTGACACATCTCAAGACTCTGAGACTCAACCCACCTCGATCCCTTCCTTCGCTAGCTCGTCTGCTGCTGCTCGTAGCACCGCCTCCCTCCGACCCATGATTGCGAGCCTAGCGCCGTGCCTGCCGAACTGCCTCGAGATCTCCAAGCTTATTCCCGAGCCACCCCCTGAAAGTCACACACGCCGGTCGCATTGTCAACAATAACAGGAGGTAGCCGCAATGATATGTTATTAATGTTATTGCTGCCGAAATGAACGGCAGCAGCAATCTCGGAAAATCGCCAGCAGGGAGACCAGCAGCAGCACGGTGAATCCCTTAGCTGAACGGCAAGGAGGAGAATAAACAGAGACGCGTTCGGAAGCGATAGCGGATCAACAGGGGAAGCGATAGAGGCAGTAAATGCGTTGGGGCACGGAGTACGACCGGAATTGGGAGGCGAGTGACTTCAATAGGCTAAGCGAGTGAACCAGTTAACAAATTCCGCTGAAGCTGAAAGTGGTGTAGATTCGAAGGGTAATCTGAAGGGCTCACCCGTGATCAAAACGACTTTCCCTTGGAGAACATTGGGTTTGAACGGACTTTCCTGGGACTCGCTATTGCCAGCACCGGGAGGACCCATATCGAAGCAGCGAAGCGGCCTAATCGATTCTAAACGGGACGCGGTGAAGCGAGGTGAAGGGAAGGTTACCCCTTTTGCTGCCGGGGGAGACTGAACACTAATTTATCAAGGGAGGCAGTGAGCAAGTCGAAGCACTCAGTTATGCCCACACCCGCAAAGATGTGAGTTGACCACGGGATTGAACACGGCGCTTTAGGATGCAAAGAGACACGGCACGTTTCAGTGTGGTGGAAACTCGAACTAAGCACATGTGCCGTGGTCGAGGGTGTTTGATCAAGCTGAGGGAGGTCCTCGATACTACCAAAAGTAGCGTACAGCCACATGCATTTCACTGCCTAGGCAAATGAATGGGGCTGTTCCTAGAAATCAGGAACTGGAAAGCATGACGGGGAATCTAATATCTGGATTTGACGGGATGTAGCCTATGTTGTTCAGGAAATTGGGCCAGGCCTTCAGTTCGGAGAGTTTGAGTTGTATCACTTGCAGTCAAGAATGAAAGTAACAAGCAGGAATGGTGTGAACTATCGAGAGAGTTGGTACAAGTACAAAACCTAAAGGGGTTGTACCCCATGTTGGCTACCCCACTATAGCCTACCCATTATACCATAACATATATATAGTTTGACACACCCCCATAAGCAAAGTGGGGGGAGAACAAGGGGTCACAAGACCAGTCAAGAAAAGCAATGCAAGCTCAGGGTGGATCACAACGTCACCACACACTCCGAGCACAAGCAAAAGGGCCACAAGGCCAATTCACATGCAGAGGTATATATGCAACAACAACAGTACAGTAATCACTACCTAGCAAGAGTAAACATGCAGGTAGATATACATAGATCACAGTACAACCAAAGTCTACAGCAAGTGAGGAAACGTAGGCACCAGACCTAGAGCAGTGCAGAAGCGCTGATGATCACCAGCCTGAAGGGCCTTGGTGAACACATCAGCCGTGTTCGCCCGGGTGGGCACGTGGGCGACACGAAGCTGACCACGCTGCTGCAACTCTCGAGCAAGGAAGTAACGCAGAGCAATGTGCTTCGTTCTGTGCTCCAGTCTGTGGTCCTGACACAAGGCAATGGCAGCCTTGTTGTCGACGTACAGAACTGGAGGAGAACGAGGCCTCTCTCCCAAGTCGGTCAGCACGTAGGTGAGCCAGCGTAACTCCTGTGCAGCCATGGCTGTGGCGTAGATCTCCGCCTCACAACTGGAGTTGAGAACAGAAGACGAGCGGGTAGACCGCCAAGAAACAGAGCCAGAGCCAAGGCTGAACGTGTAACCCTGTGACGACCGCTGCGTAGCCAGGTCGTCAACCCAAGAAGCGTCTGAGTGGCCAGTGAGGACAACTGAGCTCCGCCCTCCAAGCACGAGCCCCATGCCCGATGTACTGCATAAGTAGTGCAGTACCCTCTTCGCAGCATCCATGTGCGCCTTTCGGTGCCTACTAGGAGCCACGTAGCGTGCCAGAAGGCCAAGAGGGTACGCAAGGTCAGGACGAGTGCAGGTCATCAAGTACATGAGGCAACCCACTAGCTCTGGGTACGGACCACTCGGCTCTACGGACTCGTTCGAAGGTGGAGCTGAGAGCGAGTGACCTGTACCCAGGGAAGTGGACTGAGGCGAGGACCAAGTGAAGCCGAAGCGCTGAAGGACCTGCTGCACCATGTGTGACTGAGTCAGTGTGATCGTGTGGCGTGCTCTGTCCCGGGTAATCTGCAGGCCAAGGTAGCTGCGCAACTCACCCAGGTCTGTGCATGTGTGTCTCTTCTGCAGCTCCGACTTCACATGGGCGAGAGCCTCAGTGTCAGCAGTGGCAAAGACCAAGTCGTCGACGTAGACGAGGATGTAGAACGATGGCAACGAAGTGTCGGTACGTAGAAACAGCGACGGGTCAGCAGTGGAAGGTGCAAACCCAAGAGCCGCAAGTGTCGTCCTCAGTGTGTCGTGCCACTCACGAGGCGCCTGACGGAGACCGTAGACTGGCCGGCGGAGGCTCCACTGGGTACCAGGAGGGAACGATCCAGTGAAGCCAGGTGGGCAGCGCAGCCAGATCTCCTCGTGCAGACTGCCCTGTAAGAACGCTGTGCTGAAGTCCAGAGAGTGAAGCTCGTAGTCACGCTGAGCGGCAACATGCAGCAGCACCCGAAGAGTGGTCATCTTCGGGGTGGGGGAGAAGGTCTGGAAGAAGTCAACTCCCTGTCGCTGACTGAAGCCTCGTGCAACGTAACGAGCCTTGAAGACAGGCGAAGAACCTGGCGGCCGCTTCACCCTAAAATCCACATGCCATCGACTACGTTCGCCCCAGGAGGGGGAACTGCGTCGACGTAAGTGCATGTGGACTTCCAGGATGCCATCTCTGCGTCCATGGCTGTCTGCCATTGAGAGGAGTCCTCACTCGCGATCGCCTCAGCGTAAGAGTGCAGGGTCGGGATGTCTGGAGCATCCGGGTCTCCCTCAGGGGCAAGCAGCATGGCCACGAGATGAGGTGCAGCGGCTGCAAGACACTCAAAGTCCTCCTGCCTATCCTCAAGGACGTCCGTGCCAAGAGCACACTCACCCCCGACGGACGGAGGACAGACATACTCAGACTCAGCAACAAGACTAGCAGCGAAGTCTAGACGACAGGTAGTAGCAAAGTCAACAAGCTCAGAGACTAAGGCAGACGCAGCAGCAGACTCAAACGACGGGTTAGTGACAACATTGGCTAGCAGACGCGTGACAGTGGGGTGAGCAGCACGAACCAGGTCAGACTCAGGGTCCTGAACGTCAGGCACAGAAGACGAAGGAGGAGACGGCAAGGGAACACGCTGTGGAATAGAGGAAGGACGAAGTGCCATAGCGTGCGTGCCAGGGACAGGAGGCGGACGCTCACGAGGAACACGACTACCAGTGCGACGCGCGCGAACAGGCGAGGCAGGATGAGACGCAGGCTCACGACGCTCTGTAAGCAAGTATGTCTGCTCAGTGTAAGGAGAAGGAGCAGGCAGTTGTGCGCCGAGCTATAACGGGAGGCCAGTAGAAGACGGGAGGCTAAGAACCTGGCGAAGCACGGAGTCAGGCGGTGGCAGAGACGACGGTGATGGCGGAGCAAAAAACAGTCGCGGCGGTGCAGTGCCACCAGTACCAATAGCTCGAGCGCCTCCAGCAGCTCCAGAACCTCCAGCCCCAGGGCCTCCAGTAGCAGCACCTCCAGCTCCAGTGACTCCAGCAGCAGCACCTCCAGCTCCAGCGCCTCCAGCAGCTCCAGAACCTCCAGCTCTAGCGCCTCTAGCAGCAGCACCTCCAGCTCCAATGACTCCAGCAGCAGCACCTTCAGCTCCAGCTCCTCCAGCAGTTCCAGAACCTCCAGCTCCAGCGCCACCAGTAGCAGCACCCCCAGAACCGGCACCTCCAGCCCCAAGGTCCCCAACTCCAGAGTCGACAGTACCAGCTCTAGGGCCTCCAGCAACAGCACCCCCAGAACCGGCACCTCCAGCTCCAGGGTCCCCAACGCCAGGGTCGACAGCACCAGCTCCAGGGCCTCCAGCCCCAGTACCTCCAGCAGCAGCACCCCCAGAGCCGACACCTCTAGCTGCAGGAGCAGTACTAGTCCCGGCAGCTCCAGTACCTCCAGTACGAGCACCTCCAGGACCAAAGACACCAGCACTCCTAGCGCCTCCACGACAAGCATCTCCAGCAGCATGACTCCTCAGGCGGGTACGCGACGCAAGCCACTCTCGTGCCTGCTGTGGTAAGACAGGCCCGCGTCGTGAAACGAGACCCAAAGAAACGCCAACAGACTTAGCACCCCCAGGCAACGCACCCCTCAGCACCTCACGGACGGGCTCAGCACCCTCAGACTCCACAGCCGCAGGCTCAGCACCCCTAGGAGTAGTACCAGTCCCGGCAGCTCCAGTACCTCTAGTACGAGCACCTCCAGGACCAGAGACACCAGCACTCCCAGCGCCTCTACGACAAGCAGCTCCAGCAGCACGACTCCTCAGGCGAGTACGCGACGCAAGCCACTCTCGTGCCTGCTGTGGTGAGACAGGCCCGCGTCGTGAAACGAGACCCAGAGGAACGTCAGCAGACTCAGCACCCCCCGACCCGGCACCCTCCTGCTCAGCACCCCTAGACTCCGCAGCCGCAGGCTCAGCACCCCCAGGCTCCGCACTCCCCAGCACCTCACGCACAGGCTCAGCTTCCCCAGACGCAGCACCCCCAGCAGCACCTGGATCGCTAGTGACCTCTACAGGCTCACCCACGGGGGGCGGGTCTACCTGAGACACACCAAAAGGAGCAGGACCCTGAGGGGGGAGGGGGTCTACCGGAGGGGGACCTGGAGCGAGGAAAAGCGGCGAGGGAGGGAGAGGGGCAGTGCGGTAGGGGAAGAGACGGTAGAAAGGAACCGACTCGTCAAAGGTGACGTCCTGAGAGGGGAAGCCACGGCGCGAGGTGGGGTGGTAAAACTGCCAGCCAGGCGCGTCAGGGACAAAGCCA